ATTCTCCTTGTCTTTCCAAGGCAGGTACACCACCACCAGCCTGAATCCTGGGCTTCTCCTTGTTTTTAGGCGTGTGTAGTCCGCTTAAGCCTGGCATCTTTCCTTGCTTTTCTGAGCAGGTAGCCCACTCTCAGCCTGAATCCTGGGCTTCTCCTTGCTTTTTTGGAGCAGCTACACCTCCCTCAACCTAAACCTTGCATCCTTCCTTGCCTTTACGAGCTGACAGACCACCCCTCAGCCTGAACCCTTCACCTCTCCTTGTTTTTATGAGCAGCTGCTCCCCCCTCAGCCTGCATCCTGGGCTCCCCCTTGCTTTTCTGAGCAGTCACCCCCTTCTTCGCCTGCACCTTGCGCTTCCCCTTGCTTTTAGAACCAGGCAGCCTCAACCTCCCACCTCTCCTTCCCTTCACGAGGCAGCCACGCCACCCTCACCCTGCACCTCGCTTATCCCCTCCTTATTTTAAACAGGGCCTCACCGCGGAGGCCCCACGCGGGGCGAGACGGGGCTCAAATCACCCAACCCCTCCGCTACCCCCACGGGCCGAGCTCCGCAGCGCTCAGAACAACCCGGAGGGGAACCAAGGAGGGGAAACCCGCCCCTTGGGTGCGCTTTAACCCAACCGGAGCCCTTCAAGGGAGCATCCACAAAGGCCTCGGGCCCGCCGGGGCCGCCAGGGCCTAGCCCCGAGGCCCGGGCCGGCGCGGATCCGCGCCGGCCCGGGCCTCGGGGCTAGGCCCTGGCGGCCCCGGCGGGCCCTTAACGATGGTTGCTGGCGGCGGAGCGCACCTTGAGCTTCACCTCCGGGTCCACCTTGAGCAACGAGGCCATGGCGGCGGGGCCTGCTCCGGGTCTCGCTGCGCCGCGGGGCCGCGCTCTGCCGCCACCGCCGCCGCCGCCGGCTACCGCAGCGCTGCCGCCGCCACAGCCGCCGCCGCCGGAAGTGAGCTCGGCGCGGAGAGGCAGCCAATGGGAGGTTGGATTTCTGCACACGTGATAGGGAGGAGGGTCCTGGTAGGGCAGAGGGAGGGAGGGAATTTAGGGGGTGTGTAGGAAGAGGGGGGGGGGTGGTGTGGGGGGGTTATGTACCTGCCAGGACCTGGCGGGGAGGACTGGAGGGGTTGAGGGCGGAAGTGGAAAGGGAAAAGGGCGGAAGTGGAACGGGAAAGGGGCGGAAGTGGAGGGCTTGATTTCCGGCAGCGGGAGTAATGGCGGCGGTGGCGGTGGGAGCGCGGCGGTGAAGGGAGCCCGGTGGCGGCAGCATGGAGGGCGGGCGGGCCGGTGGTGGTGGCGGCTGCACCACGCAGGTGAGCTTCGTGTGCCAGCGCTGCAGCCAGCCGCTGAAGCTCGACACCTCCTTCAAGATCCTCGACCGCCTCACCATCCAGGAGCTCACCGGTACCGGCAACGGGGGCCCCGGTGGTGGCGGAGGGGGGGGGGGGGGGTGGAATGGGAACGGGAACGGGACCGGGACCGGGTCTCGGCCGCTGACAGCTCCTCGCCCCCACAGCCCCGCTGCTCACCGCCGCTCCCGCCCGGCCCGGGGATGCGCAGGAGGAGGAGAGCAGCGCCCTGAGCGAGGTACGGGGAGGGGGCACCGGGAGGACCGGGGAGGGGGTGGGGGGGGAGCCGCCGGGCCCCAGTAACGGCACCGCCTGGTTCCCTTTCCCTCCCCGCAGGAAGGCTTCGCGGAGAGCCGGCAGGACGGCGTGTCCAGGAGGTTCATCCCACCTGCCAGGTACGGTGGGGAGCCCCCAAACCGGGCACCGGAGCTTTGGGGGGGGGTGGGGAGGAGCCGTGGGCGCTGCCCCTCACGGGGCGCCCCCCGTTTTGCCCCCCCGGTGTATTTAGGGCACCGTTTATCAGTTGTGCGCTTTGGCCGAGCACCAAAATGCTGCCCCCCTCCTTCCCCCAAAAAAATTGGAGGCGATCTCCCCCAACTCCCAAATCCCGGTTGCGCCCTGTTCCCCTGAGCCCCCCTCACCCCCATCCCCGGCGCTCCCTTCCCGGTGAAATTCGTCCCCAGAATGATGTCGACGGAGAGCGCCAACAGCTTCACGCTCATCGGGGAGGCGTCAGACGGCGGCACGATGGAAAACCTCAGCAGGAGGCTGAAGGCAAGTGGTGTGCAGGGGGGGCACCTCGGGTCCTCGTCAAAATTCAGATCCTCGTCACTGACGCTCCACGAGGTCGAATTTATTCCATGACGGCCTTTGAGATGTTTTTCTTGCAAATAGTTGAAAAAAAGGTGGTTTAAAATCCAGGTGTGGCTTGCAGAAATCTTTCTGGGAAGGGAAGAGGCGCGCCCGGCTGTCGGGAGCTCATGGGGGGGGCACGGAATTTCTCCGCAGGTGACCGGCGACCTCTTCGACATCATGTCGGGGCAGACGGACGTGGATCACCCCCTGTGCGAGGAGTGCACGGACACGCTGCTGGACCAGCTGGACACACAGCTCAACATCACCGAGAACGAGTGCCAGAACTACAAGTGAGCAGCGTGCTGACCGTGGGTTTGTGCCCGGGGACTTGGGGACGGCGGGCACCCAGCTGGGCCCCTGGGAGGGCGAGGGCACGAAGGGAGGCACCGGCTGTGGTAGTAAAAAATCTTTGCTCACCATCTTGTAAAATATTTTGGCTCCCCATCTCGTTCCTTTTTGCTGTTACATCTGCTCTCCTGGCTCACAGCGTGGAGCCAAAGTAAAAACGTACCGGGGGTTAACCCTCGGCGCAGGCAGAGCGGTTTCTGGCGGGGCTCGGGCCGTTGCGGTGATGCTGTGGCTGCCCTGCAGGAGGTGCCTGGAGATCCTGGAGCAAATGAACGAGGACGATAAGGAGAAGCTGCAAACGGAGCTGAAGGAGCTGGCGCTGGAGGAAGAGCAGCTGATTCAGGAGCTGGAGGACGTGGAGAAGAACCGCAAGATCGTGGCCGAGGACTTCGAGAGGGTCAGGGCGGAGGCGGAGCGGCTGGAGCAGGAAGAAGCTCAGTGAGTGAAATCCACTACGCGGTGTGGATTTTGGGTACATGAGATTGATGATCAATGATAATTGATGAGATTAGAAAGGGGAGGGACCTGGAATTAATGCCCCAAACTAAACAGCTTATTCCTTGCCAAAAAAAAAACTACAACCAAACCACCGTATTATAGCACGTGAGCACTTCTCTTTTCCTGTAAGCCTCGTACCCAGCGGTGCTTTGTTTCCTTCGGAGGTACCAGAAGGAATACTGCGAGTTCAAGAGGCAACAGCTGGAGCTGGACGACGAGCTGAAAAGTGTGGACAACCAGATGCGTTACGCCCAGATCCAGCTGGACAAGCTAAAGAAAACCAACGTCTTCAACGCCACCTTCCACATCTGGTAAGGCAGGCGGCGGTGGCGCTTCAGATTCCTTCACGAAAAGCAGAACAATTTGGTGTTTCTGCCCGTTTTTCAAGCGGGGCCCCGAGTCCCCGTTGTGCGTTCCCAGGCGGCGCCATTTGTTTGGCGTGCTGCCGGCTGCTCCTGCCCGGCTGCTCCTTTATAACCCCTCCTGTCGCAGGCACAGCGGTCAGTTTGGCACGATCAATAACTTCCGACTTGGCCGCCTCCCCAGCGTCCCCGTGGAATGGAACGAGATCAACGCAGCCTGGGGGCAGACCGTGCTGCTGCTGCATGCCCTCGCTAACAAAATGGGGCTGAAGTTTCAAAGGTACACGCAATAAAATCCACGTTTCCCTTCTGACCCAGAGAAAGGAGCTTAAGGCTCACCCGCCTCTGCCCCGTCTCCTTTCAGGTACCGCCTCGTACCGTACGGCAACCACTCCTACTTGGAGTCCCTCACAGACAAATCGAAGGTAAGGTCCTGCACGAGCTGGAGAAAAACGACCTCGTGCAGCCCAGATCCCTGCTGAAAGGCACCGAAGACTGAGACTCTGCTCCTGAGAGCGCACCTCTGGGGATTTATGCCCCGGGGAGCTAGCTGCCCTGGTTTCTCCCCCAGGAGACTCTCACTCCACATCCACTCGTTGCCATCCAGGAGCTCTCAGATTACACAGAGCAACTGGCCCAAGGAAATAAACACGATTTGGGAAGGCCGTAGGTGATCAGGAACCTGAGTTTTCTCCTGCTAGCCAGCAGCACTCATGCAGCAGGCACTTGGCACAAAACCAGCACCACCTATTACATGCCACAAAGCATTTTAAGTGTCCCGTGACAAATTGGAAGTCTCAGCCAGACTAAAGATCTGCGTTGGCAGCATCTAAAGGGGAATGCTCGGGGTGCCTGAAGCTGATCTCTTTTGCAGGAGCTCCCCTTGTACTGCTCTGGAGGCCTGAGGTTCTTCTGGGACAATAAATTTGATCACGCCATGGTGGCTTTCTTGGACTGCGTGCAGCAGTTTAAGGAGGAAGTGGAAAAGGGCGAAACTCGGTTTTGTTTGCCTTACAGGTGAGTGCTGCTGTTACCCCCTGTCCTGCCTGGGCCTAGCCCACAGCCCCGCTTGCTGTTTCTGTCCTGGCTTTTGGGGATCATCGGGAGCTCTGCAGAGTGCAGCATTACTACGCTTGTTCTTATTTCACTGGGATTTAAAGCTAGTTCCTCAGGCAAAAGTCTGCGGCTTGCTAGATTTCTTTTAAAGTATTCTTAGGTAGAAGTTTCTGAGCATCCGATTGAAAGTTTGGTGCTCAATATCCCCTTGAAATTAAATGCTTGCTGTACTAATGTGCTAATCAACTTTGTTTGATGCAGGATGGACGTGGAGAAAGGCAAGATTGAGGATACAGGCGGCAGCGGCGGCTCCTACTCTATTAAAACGCAGTTTAACTCCGAGGAGCAATGGACAAAAGCCCTAAAGTTCATGTTAACTAACCTGAAGTGGGGCCTTGCCTGGGTCTCGTCCCAATTCTACAACAAGTAACCACGGCAAGAGCTCGCCCTGGCAGCTGTGGCGCCTGCTGCTTGTTGGAGAAACTCAAATCAAGCTGTCTCGTAAGGTTAACCCGTACGAAATGTTTACAATACCAAAAATCCACAAGACACTTTATTTAAAATACCGTTATGAGGAGTAGTATATAGAAAAGCAATATGTAAAGTTCTATCACGGAGCTGAACTGAATTAAAAAAATAATAATAATCAGCTGTTAAATAGATGCTAAAGTGGTGTTTGGGGGGTTAGAGAGATGTATATAAGTTATTGTCAAGGTTCAAACTGCCAGCGCTGTGGGGAGGGCTCTGGTACAGCCTAATAGAACGTGGGGGTTAGAAAAGGAAAGTTTCCAATGCAGGGAATAACGTGGAAAAACCCTGAAGGTCTGTTTGGTCACTGCAGCTTGAAATAAAGTATTTTTTAAGTCGTATCAGCGCTTCTTTTTGCCACGAGGGCCTGACACTGGCTGGAGCCTGGTCCTGCACAGGGGCACACGGAAAAATGTCCCAATAAAACACAATTCCAGCCTCAGTGCTTTCAGCTGGAACCTAAGCCCCCCTTAGTGCTCAGACAACCGTGCTGAACAGGCCCCTGCTGCCAGAACAAAATGGGGGGGATTTTGGTGCCACAACGCTGGCTAGCTCGATGGAGGTAAGAACAACCAGGCTTCGGAGCGCTGGCAAAGAGGAACCTTAACAAGCAGCCTGGCAGAAAGAATTAGGTTTTAAAACAGCAGCAAACACAAACGGCAGCCCTGTCTGTAAGGGCTGGGCTGGGATTTCCCAGCAGAATAACGCTCACGTTGAGGCCTTTTCAAAACAATGCTCTTAGAATAAGTTTTCTGTTTCTTCAAGGAAAGCATAATCACAACTTAAACAACGCAGCTCTACTAATAAAAAGCTTTTGGCGCTGGAAAACATAAGCACTGCTTTGTCTGTTACCTTCCCAGCGCTAGAGCACAGCCTAAAATAACGAGCTTCTCTAATTAAAACAGCACACAACAAGTTACAGAACACGCCGTGCTCAGAATCAGAAGAACAAGCCTACTGTTTGGGGTGCCCTGCGCGGTGTCGCAGATGATGGATGGATGGATTCCATTTTTTGGAGCTTTATTTCCTCCGCTGCTGCTTTGGCGTGGTGCTGCCAAGGACGTGTTTCAGTACCGCATACGAAAATTCTAAGATGCTTTGTGAAGTGATGCCCGTAATGCAGTTTAAATGCTCCACAACCTTAAAAGTAACAATAATAATACTTACTGACAGTGCTTAAGGGACATTAATTTACAGAGCTACTTCTGAACACCCCCCAAATCTAACAAAAGCAGCAGGGCCCCACAAACCCCAAGACTAACGCCTTTGCCAAAAGCTGAAACCTCTCAGTGTGACAGAACGAGAGGATTTTTTTTTAAAGGAATTGCTTCTACCAAAGAAGTAAACTGAAAAAAAAAAAAAAAGCTACAGAATGCAGCTCGCTGTGGTTAATGGGCTGCTTGTTACAGCATTCAGCAGCAGCTCGGGGAGAAAGCTGTCTGGTGGGATCACTGCTGGTTGCCAGCGAAGCTGCGTCTCTCTGGGTTCGTTCTAGCTGTGCAGAAGCTGAAGCACAAGGACAAGCTGGCAGCAGCGCAAGCGCACGCCTCTCTCCTGAATTGCTGGGCCATAACCCTTCCACCAAGGCGTGCACGCTTCCAGCCAATAAACTGGAAGGGGTCCCCTCCTTCGCGTCCCTCCCCGTAGCCTGCCGGTCTCCCAGCTGTGCTAAAACACATAAACAAGCCTCCTTTTTCTTTTTTTTTTCCCCTCCATGTGGAGCTAATTTGTTTAGAAATGACGGTACCTGCTTCCAGTGCTCGGGATTTAGTACAAAAGCGCTTGTGCTGATGATTCCAACTGCCAAGAGCATGAAATCTTCCTTTACTGCCAAAAACTTGGCTCTGCACAAGTAAAAGCGTCTCCTGGTATAAAACGATGCTAGGTCTGTAGCTCCAAACCACCCACTTCTATAAGCCCTGCACAGCCTCCAGCCATGTTAGCTCAGAGTCTTTCAGCCCAAAGAAAACCGATACTATCAGCGTTCGCCAACAGCCCTAAAGGTGGATTTTTCAGTTGAAGTTAAACACTTCCCTAGCTTGCCCCGAAAGCAAACGTGTAGCACATTGCTTTGAGCTGGTATGCAAAGATCCATCAACAATGCTGACAGCCCAACACTTTAAAAAATTTAAAAGCAGGTGCCCAAAAAGCAGAATAACGAGAACCAGGGTGCTATTTCTTAGCCTTTTTCCCAGGTTGCAACTTCAAAAACTTATTTTAAACGCAAGCCACTTACACCTGCAGTTCACTTGGTGTCGAATTTTCGATGGCAGTCTTCAGTAACGTGTTGTAGATGGCCTCTCTTTCAAGATACAAGAAGTCTAGTAGCTGCACACACATCTGATGCAAGGGCTTTGCAGGAAGTAAGCAGCCGTTATGTCCTGGTGTAGAGATCACACATAATTAACCATACGTTTGGGGTCATTCACTTGAATCAGGAAGAGGCGCCAGTTACTCTAAGGGAGGGATGAAGATTTCTGGGGAGAACTGCCCTTTGTTTCTGCAGCCTTCTCAATCTCAGCGTAATTACACTCACTCTGAGACTCAGGTTGTCAGCTGGGCAAAAAAAAATGGTTAAATCATTTTAGAAAACGTGCTCTGAGGGTTTAAACTCAACCATTTACAGATTGGTTCGGGACTGGCAGTCAGTCTACGTCCTGCAGATCGATTAAAGACAAAGTTCTCACCTGAAAGGCAAAGTCTGAAAAGTTTCAGGCGCCCTCACAGTGTGCAAAGAGATGTAACATGGGACGTTTGTTTCAGCCAGCTCTATTTCAGTAACAGCTCCGTTACTCTTAATAAAGTCTTTATCATTCTCTCCTACTAATACTCTTACCTAAAACCTCAAGAAGCAACTCGATGTAAGCCAGAGGAGTTGACACATTGATCTGGAACTGCAGAGTTTCTAAAACAGCAAGCTCTGACTCGAGCAGCTCCTGTTTGGTGTATGAGTATTTTAAGGATTGCAGGAATTTTAAAGCTGTGTTGCTGTTAACTATCTGAAGAGGAAAAAAAAAAAAAAAAAACACACAAGTTGTTTTCTATTTTGAGAAAGGCAATAGGACACTTGTTACAATATTTGCTTCTTGCTTTGCTCCCCCTGTTAAATTTAAGCATGACCCACTGCAGTTGTAAGACTGCACGTTAACCCAGCTGGCTCCCCAGCCTTTTAAGCTGGCATGAAAAATCCAGCTGAGAACTTTTTCTTCGGCTCCTTGTAACCCCACAAACCTTCCCCAGCCAGGGGTGGGCCCTGTGCAGCTGTACGCTTCCCAACACCCACAGGCTGGGATTCTTTGCGATCTGTACTGGGAACACCTCCTGACAAATTTTTACACGAGGAAGGCCAATGAACCTGCCCTAAATGCAAGTAGTTTAGGGCCTCGTTTTGCTATCCTTTGCATTTCGTTATCACTCCTGATTTTCAGAAAGAAAATCGATTCTTTAAAGGTGTTAGATAATTCACTACAGTACTGAAAATGCTACTAGCAAAAGTTTAGATAGCTTACGTTATAGTGCAAGGAAAGTTTGCTTGCAAGCTGAATGCACGACACCAGTCGCAGGACAAATGTGTCATAAATCTGTTCTTTCAGAGAGCTCCGACTGCTGCCTCCTTTGGTACCTTCCATGTTCTCAGTGGGGGACTTACAGACTTGCTCTACTTGCTTGATCATAAACCTATGAAAAACACTTTGCTGCTAAGAAAAAAAAGAAGAAAAGCAATTCTGCACGTACACAGAAAATACGCACAGCTATTGACTTGAGCGAAGTAAAAAGGCGAAGCTCTAAATGAGACAATTATTCTGTGTTGTTTGAATGACTGGCAAAGGGCAGGGCTGGTACAGCCGCATGGGATGCGTGCTTCGTTATCGATGCGTTGATTACCTTTCGAGCAACTCTACTGCCTGATACCTTGCCGAATGGTCCAAGTGCCATTTTTCAGCCAAAAGGAAGATGAATTCTGAAGGGAAAAAAAAAAAACATGAAACAGAATGAGCGCGTCATTGAATTCAGACGGATGCAGCTCATCAGGCAGCTGCTCCAGCCTCAAGGGGCCTCACCCACGGTCCTGCAATCCTTGCAGCAGCCGGCCTGGCCGGGCAGCTCACTGAGGTACCGCTCGTTCTCCGCGGCCAGGCGCAGCAGCGAGGCCTCCATCACCTCGGGGGCCACCCCGCCGAAGAGGGGCTCGGAGCTGTAAAACCTGGGTACCGCCTGGGACCCCATCCTAGCCATCCACCCCCCGAATTCCAAAAATTAAGGAATTGGGTAATTCCCGGCACTAACTAATTGGGTAATTCCCTTAATTAACTATTTCGGTCACTCTGGGCAGTGATTATGTGGGTAATTCCCCTCGTTACCAACAGTGGTGGACACCTGAGGGGGGGTGGTGAGGCCACCGGCCACAAGAGCCCCCCTGGGGGCTGGGAGGCTTCACCCACAGCCTCCAAGGGTCGATGGGGCCGGGGCAGAAGCCCCAGGAGAGGCCCCGAGACCGGGATCCGGGGCTCCCGGTGCGGCCTCGACGCCCCCGAGGCCCTCAGGACCCCACCTCAGCGCCCTCCCTCCCGGCCCAGCCCCTGCCAATCACCGCCGCTTCCACCAATCACCTCGCGCCTCTCCCTCCCTCCTCCAGCCGCGTGCGGCTCCTCAGCCAATCACTCGACGCCTCGCCTCAGCGAGCCGCCCGCTCTGGTCCCTCCCCTCCCTCCCCATTGGCTCCCGCTCCCCGGGGCGGTGGCAGAGGCGGAAAGCGGCGGCGGGGCAAGATGGCGGCGCCCAGGGAGGCGGCTGTGGCGCAGCGAATCGACCCCGCGCGGGAGCCGGGGCTGAGCCCGGAGCAGCGCCGCTTCATGGCGCAGGTGGAGCTCGCCCAGCGCCAGCGAGCCTTACAGAAACGGCTCCGAGGCCGCAACGTGCTGCTGGCGCTGGGCATCGGCGCCGTGACGGCGGGGATCTGTATCCTGCAGGGCCGGGAGGGCACCGGGAGGGGGTTGGGTGTGTGTGGGGGGTCCCGGTGCGCTCCCGGTGCTCTCCTTAACGCCCCGCAGACGGCTACACCTTCTACTCGGTGTCTCAGGAGCGCTTCCTGGACGAGCTGGAGCTGGAGGCGGAGGCGGCGCGGGCCCGGGCCTCGCAACGGGAGCGGAGCGCGGCCACCTGAGGGCGGCCCGGCCCCGGACACGGCGTGAGGCGGCGGGGGGAGCGGCCCCGGGCCGGGCACGGAGCGGCCTCGGTGGGCCCAGCGCGGCCTGCGGGGTCCCGGCGGTTTCCTCACGGTTCCCCTGCGGTTCCCCTGCGGGCAGGGTGCTGCCCCCCGCCCTCATCTCCCCCCCGTGTCCCACCGGGAACGGGAATGGGACCGGGACCGGGCGGGGGGCGCGCTCTGGGGTGGGCAGGGGGCTCTGCCGGCCGGCCCTAATGTAATAAACGCCTCGTGACTGGAGCCTGCCTCGGTGCCTGCCGTTAAATCAGCCGGGATCCAGCCTGGATCCCACACCCGGCCAGCTGCTGAGGTGATTTTCTCAAAAAGCTGAATAGTTGCACCTTTTCCTTCTTATTGTTACCCATTTTACTCGGTTTGTGCTCTTCTCAGCAGCCAGCTCCTCCACAGACACAGCCAGAGCCGCCTGGTGTTTGATCCGTATTTATGAAACGCTTCCCAGATGTGGGTTTGTAACAAAATTCACCCGCAGCCCGCCCCCTGCAGCCCCCGGTTCCGTCGTTTTTCGGGCACGGCCCCCGCGCTGCTTTGGGCTCAGGGAGGGGAAGGCGCCGCTTTGTGCCGCGGGGGCGAGGCTGGAGGACGGCGAGGTGGAGTAAGGCAGAGGAGGCGGTGTAACGGGGGCACGGAGCAGGCTGGGTTCTGCTCGGGGAGCCAGGACGAAGCGCGGGGGGCTGCGGGGGGTGCCAGTGCCCTGCTCCCTCCCGCAGCTGGGAGGGGACAGGAGCGGACAGGGACACATAGGGACGAGCAGAGTGCTGCCAGCCCGGCCCTGGCAGGGTGCAGAAGGGTTGGGGCTGGGCCCCCCCAAGTCAGAGACCCCGCTGGCTGCTCCCCAGGAGGCGTGGGGGGCTCCCCCCCCTGCGGGGCAGCAGGCACTTGGTTGAGGTAGTTCACGAAGTCACTCCCGGCCGGCTGCCTACTGCGGGAGAGAGGTGTCAGTGAGCTGGAGGGGCGCTGGAAGCGCTTCTGGGGGGGTTACGGGCAGCAGGATCAGGCCCGCGCCCCTTACCATGCGGCCAAAATCATCCGCAAAGGTCACCCCCTTGCTCATGCGCTGCTCCTGGGAGCCGGTGCTGCTGCCGCTCAGCGAGTTTCGCCGCATGATCCCTGCGGGGACAGACGGGCCCTGAGCTGGGGGCACCGAGCTGCGCCCCGGGGGGGGTCAAAACTCTCCGAATTCCCTGCGAGGAGCCAGGGCCAGCTCCGGGGTTTGTACCTTGGGGCTGCCCCAGCTCGATGCGCTGCAGGCTGTTGCGGCGGGAGGGGTTGAAGCTGCCCTTGGAGAGGCGGCGCTGGCGGCTGGAGAGCATGGCGGCGGGGGAGACGATGCCCAGCGGGGGCTGCTTCCCCATCCGCAGGTACAGCTCCTCGATCTCCTTCTTCTGGCTGCTCTGCAGCAGCTGCACTTCAGCCAGGTGCCTTGGGGGAGAAGCAGGGAGGGGGAGCTGAGCTTGGAAAACCCCCAACCCCCCCCCCCCATCCTGGGGACAGGGGAACCCTCCTGGGGTGCGGCACCCCACACAGAGCCCCCCCGGCCCAAGGGGGGCTGCTCACTTCTGGCGCAGGCTCTGCAGCTCCTCCCAGATCTCCTCGTCCTCGCTCTCGGTGTCATCGCTGCTCACATAGGACAGGCTGCGGGAGTAGCTCAGCCACACCTGGCTCAGCACCGCCTGCGGAGCACCCTCAGCGCCCTCCTCCCCGGCGCCCTCCCGCTCGCTCTCGGCTGCCGCCGCCACCACCATGCCCTCCCGGGGCAGCGCCTCCTCCACCTCGGGGTCCTGCACCGCTGCCTCCGACTCTGAGGAGCTGCTGCTGCTGCTGCTGCTGCTCCCCGTGCCGGGGGCGGGGGGCAGGGGGGAGCCACTCGCCGCCAGCTCGGTGCCATGCTCCTCGCCCTCGCCGCTGCCCGGTGCCGGCGAGGCGACCGCTGGCTCCTTGGACGGCGTCACCTGGAAGCGGCCCAGGATCTGCGGCTTGGCTTCTGCTGGGGGGGAAGCAGCAGGGCCTGGGGGTGAGCTGGGAGGTCGGGGGCGGCGCGGTGTCACCCCCTCCTTGGGGTGGGCACGGCCCCTTCCCCGCCTCACCTTCGTTGATGGGTGACAGCCGCGCCTTGGGCACGCCGGGCGGCAGTGACTCGGCGACGATGAGCGGGTGGCTGGGCTTGGGGGGGCTGAGCGGCACCTGCAGACACCCCAAAACCATCACGGCCCTTGCGACCCACTGCCCGTTCACCCCCCCTGTGTCCCTAGGGCCAAGAGGGCTCCGCATCCCAATCCTAAAAGCACCCCCGGAGCCCTCCCCGCCCCGCACTCACCCCGCTGCCCTCCAGGCTCCCCGGTGTGGATGCGCACGGTGGCGGTGGCGCTGGGGGGCTCCCCGCGGCCTCACCCCCTGGTGGTGCTGGAGGAGAGAAGGGCACGGCACCCCCCACAGCGGGGACAGCGGCCCCCAGCGCCCCGCCGTGAGCCGGGGGGGGTTTGGCCATGCTGGCGGGGTCGGGATAGACGAAACGAGGGGGTCCCAGGATGAGGTTTTGGGGCCGAGGCAGCAGCGGGGGGTAGAGGTGGCCCCCCGAGGGGGCGATGGAGGAGACGGCGGGCAGCAGCGTGTGGGCCACGCTCATCACCGCCAGGGAGAAGACGTTGGCCAGGGACAGGAGCGGGGTGGTCGGGGACCAGGGACCGCTGGTCACAGGGGGGCTCACGGGGCTGCTGGGGATGGGGGACGAGGGGAGGGCGGGAGGGAGGGCAGGGGGAACGGGGGGAGCCCCCGGGGTGCTCGGAGGGGGCGTTTGGGGGAAGAGCGGCGCTGCCGTCGGCCAGGAGGGAGCCGTGGAGAGAAGGGGCCAGGTCTGCACCGAGCCTGCGGGGGGGAGAGAGACAGAAAAAGGGGCGTCAGCGGCCGGGATGGACGGACGGACGGACGGACAGATGGACGGATGTAATACCTGCAGGGGAGCCCGGCAGCACTGGCAGCTGCCCTCGTGTTTGGGGTGCCGGCGGCTCCACGGGGCTGGAGAGGTCGTTCTCCGACAGGGAGCTGCTCAGCGCCGGCAGCACCGGGGACTGCAGCGAGAGGCTGGGGCTGGTGCAGCCCAGGTCTGCGGCACAAGGGGGAGAGACGCCCGTGGTGCTCAGCCCCGGCACGATGCGGCCCCCTCCCCCCCAACCCCGGGACCCCCTCTCGGCTCGGCCGGGGGCGCGGGACGTACCGCTGAGCGAGGAGGAGGAGGAGATGGAGCGCGAGAGCTCCTGCAGCTGCAGCTCTGCCTGCTGAGGAAGGAGACGCTGAGCCCCGGGACAAGATGGGACGAGCTGAGCCAGACCCCAGCTTGTCCCTAAAACATCCCCACCATGAGCAGGGGGCAGCAACCGGTGGCTCTGCCGGGCACGGTGCCCCCACGACCCCAGGGCGCATCCTGCACGGAGCTGGAGGGGATCGGTGCCCACACTGCACGTCCCCAGCACCGGGCAGCTACCCCCAGAGCTGTGCTCGGTGTCCCCAGGGTCCCCAGCAGGGGGGTCCCGGGGCCGGGTACTCACGGGCCGGCTGCTGCCACCCTCTGCCTCGGGGTTTTCGGGCAGCTCGGCGGTGCCGCGCCCGTCCTTGCGCAGCAGGGTCTCCACGCGGTGGATGATGTCCCGGATGCGGTGGATGAAGCCGTCCTGCTCCGACTTGAGGATGAACTCGTTGTGGACCTGGAAATGGGGCGGCGAGGGGGGTGCTCAGCGCCCGCAGCCACCGCTCCCCCTCCCACCACCCCCACCACCACCGGCCCCATCCTCACCATGACGGCGGCGATTTCCTCGGGGTTGTCCCCGTCCAGGTCGAACTTGAACGTCACCATCTTGTTGTTGTAGGTCTGCAGCTGGCACTCCACCACCCGGTCGTTCTTGTCGGAGATCTGCGGGCAGCAGGACAAGCTCAGCACCGCGGGGAGCGGGGACGCAGCCACCCCAGCACCCCCCCCAAACAACTCACGTTGGTGATGCGCAGCCTGGACCGGGCTCGGCGCCGCAGCAGCTTCCCCGCTGCCCTCTTGGCCGGCAGCTTGCTGCTCCTCTCGCCGGCCGAGAGCCCCTCGTAGCCGTCGCTCATCCCCGAAGCCACGTCCGAGGCGTAGCTGCGGGAAGCCCCGAGGCGTCACCGTGCCCGTTCCCCTCCGCTGCCCCCCTCTCCCCAACCCCGCAGCTCGGGGCTCACCTGTCCACCGGGGAGGAGAAGCCGCTGGCGGGCGGCAGGCGCTCGGTGGGCAGCTGCACCGCGATGCTCTGCGGGGACACGAGGCCGTGAGCCGGGGCTGCTGCTGCCGCCACCGTGATCCCCCCCCCGATCTCCCCAAAAGGGGGGACTCACCGTGGGGAAGCAGCGCACGGGGCGGGCGGGCGGCGGGCTGGTGGGGGTCCCCGCCGAGGCGCTGCGATGGGAGAGGTCCGGGGAGTCGAGGAAGCCGGAGGAGCTCAGGTAGCCGTCCGTTTCGCAGTCAGCTGGGGGCAAGCACGAGTTGAGTGAGCGCGGCCAGAAACGGGGCCCCCTCGGCTCTTAATCCCCTCCCCGGGAAATATATTTGGGGTGGGATGCGCGCTCGCCCCCCCGTGCCTACGTACAGGTGGCCGAGGAGTAGCTGGTGTGCCGGTACACAAAGTGCTGGTCGGCCTCGGGCTCCTCGGGCTCCGGTGGGAAGGCGCTGCCGAAAACGGAGTCCCCGGAGCCGGGAGTGGCCGGGGTGGGCATGGGGACACCCGATGGCAGCGGGGACTTGAAATCCTCCAGCAGCTGCAGGACTCCGGGCCCCTGACCCAGCTCAGCCGGCGGCACCGCGTCCCGCGCCCGCTTCAGCTTCTCCCTCTTGCGCTTGATGGCGACCACGCGGTCCCGCACGGCTTTGGCCACCAGCTTGTAATCGGCCTCGCAGACGAAACCCAAAATCACCTGCGTGGGAGCAGGGCTCGTAGCGGTCTTCGGGGAGCCCCCCAGCACGCCATTGTCCCCCCCCAAAACCCGTGCCCCGCAGCACCCACCATCTCCTGGGCCACCTCCTCAGCCACGTCCTTGTAGAGCTCGAAGAGGAACTCGATGGCGTTGTTGTCCTTGTACTTGCCGTGCAGCTTCTTGGTGTCGTCCATGCGCAGCCAGAGCTTGAGGCCGGACTTGACGCCGTCGTCCTCCTCGGCCAGCTCCACGTGCACGCCCGTGTCCTCCTGGAAGAAGGAGTGCTC